CTAGCAGATCTCCCTTTTTTCCTTCTTTTCCAAACCCCCCTCCCTTAACTTGCTTGGAAATGGCCGTGTTCCTGTCTGCGCTGTCACCTCACTCAGACAAGGCGTCGGGCTGTGCCGGTAAACGCGTCTTGCAGTGCCCATCTCCCCAGTCTCTGCCCACCTTTCCTGTGAATGCCTTTTCGGGGTCAGGCCTTTCTTTTGGCTGCTGAACGCCTGGCAAGCAGTGCAAACAAAACCCGGGGGAGCCTCAAGTGTGTAACTCTCCTTGCGACTTTATTCTCCTTCCACCTACGGAAGAAGGTCGCTTTGAGTTCCCGTCTCGGGTTACGCAGAGCTTCCCAGGGCCCGGCGGGTCAGTCAGCGCCAGGAACAGCAGCTCCAGCGGTCGGCACCTGTCCTTTGGGTTTCCTGCCAAGGAACAGGCCTCCTGCCTGCAGAAGGAATCCTTTGGAGGTTAAATTGGATCTGTCAGTTGGCCAGCTTGTAGAGAAGCACTTGTGTTGCCTGCACGCTTGTTTTCTTTAAAAAGAATCAAACCCTTAAAAATCTAGGCTGTTAGAAACTGTAATACAGGACTGATTTTCGTGGTACTTGTGCCAGTGCAAAAATAAACATCATAAATGCAAAGTTTTGCTTGCGTCTAGGTTTGTTTTGTAGGCTTTCAGTGCTAATCTGTGTTCATGGATTAGCTGCATTCAGTAATTTGCTGTTTTGTGAGTGTATAAAGTTAGCAAAATACTAAAAATGCAGCAATATTTTTTTCACTTTTGTTATTGGTAATTTTCTTGTTATGAAGTACAGTTACTTTATAAGGTACGCTCTGGAAATTTGTGCTATCTTACAAAGTGTGAGTAGCTGATGTTTTTTAAAAAGGCATTGATCATGTAGTACCACTTCTGGCATTTTATAATCAAAATCGTTTTTTCCCTGAATTAGTTTATTTTAGATATCTATCAGAAATTCTCGGGAGTTCAGTACATGGCTTTTGCAGGTGAAATTAAGACTCATTCCCCATTGGAACTTTCTGAATTGAATATTGGGCATGTTTTGTCTTACTTGGCATTTGAAGTATTAAAGTCATTTTTTTACTTTTAGCAACCCTTTGATTCAGTGTATGTGTTTGAAACAGATGATAGCTGTATTTTTTTTGTTTCATGTTAATCATATGAAGGCCCAATAGTCTGTTCTGTAGCAAATTAAATTCACCACATGCAACCACTGAAGGTGGTGTAGCTTACTTTCAGCTGCCCTTCTTTACTAGTTTGGCAGACATAGGCAATCTACCAAAACTTTTGAATGAATCTATTTTGTGTACTTTTCTATGTTCTCCTATGCTACCGGAATCCCTCAAAGTGCTTTTCACTACAGATATATCCCTTAAAGTACTTAAATGCTAACTAAATGCTCAAGGCCAGTCCTTGTCAGTGCTAGCAGCTTCACCAGCTCTTTCCTGCAGCACCAGTAAAACCTCAGAAAACCCGGTACCACATCTGACATGAATGACTAATGTGGAAGGGTAACGTACAACAAGTGCAAGATTAAGTGTTCGAGTGTTTGCATTGGTACACTAAACTACTTGTTTAATGCATAGACTTTTTTTAACTCGAACAAAAGAGAGCAGTTTTTCACGATGCAGTCATGTTCTTTTTCCTTTCCTTTTCTTTTTTTTTTTTTTTCTTTTCCTTCAGGTACTTGGTGGAAGTCCAGGAATACTCAATAATCATGGATTTCAGGTGCAACAGCAGCAACAGAGACGGCTGTCGCTACATGAATACTTGAGCATGGGACTGTTGCAGGAGGCTGGCATTGCTGTCCCACACGGACTAGTTGCCAAGACACCAGACGAAGCTTACAAAATAGCGAAAGAAATAGGTATAATATTAAAGAGAACATATACTATATAGGCTTGGGATTGATGCAAGGTGTAACTACTTTTTCTGTCTTTCCTGGTAAGATATTTCTTGGAGTTCTGAATGTACTTTCTCTTTATGAGAACCTTTCCTGCAAAGCAACCCTTGCAGAGTTGAGTATTTATTTTGGAGCTGATATTTTCTTAATTTGAGGCTTTCTAATGCTTAATATTGCTCAATGCTCAAGTACATGGTGAAATCAGTTACGTGACCTAGTTTTAAAGACATTCTTGATAGTGTATTTAGATTTGTTTATGAAGTTCAGCTGTGTCCCTGAAATTTCAGTGGGGAAGGACTTGACCCTACTTCCTTTAAAGGCTGTAAAAAGCGTCTCAAACACTATCATTCCCATATTCCAAATGCTGCAGAAACTTTACTAGTAACTTGTGAGTCTTGATTGTAAGGAATGGAGCAAGTCTAAATTGTATTATCCTAGACTGATACAACTATCTAAACTTCTTTGAGATGAGTAATAGACTCTGTGCAAATCGTGGATTTCTTTTTGCTCTCAAGGAAGGGTAGAGGAAATCTGTGCAGAGCTTAATTGGCAGTGGCAGGGAAAGCTTCTGTAGTCCAAGATCTCATACAGAACAGAAGATGCAAAGCATACTTACTTGTAGGCTGTAGAAGCAGAGTAAAATCCTACTGCTTTGCGAATGTGCTGTTCTGGCAGAATGGAACTATGTGCAGGAGGGGAAAACTTTTGATGGCTTATAGTTTTGTGCTAAATTCCTGGCTTGTTGTTGGAAAGCATCCAAACTCCTTTGCCTGGTGTTTAAATACTTTCTTTAGAGTAGAGCTTTAATTTTGGACTTGACTCTGCCTATTCGCCACTTTATTATGTGTCTTCATAAAATTTTAAGTTTTATTTGGGTACAATGTAGAAGTCAGCTTCCATCTTTCTTGACATTAATATTGGTGGTAATTCTTTTTTTTTTTTTCTTTTTTTTTTTTCAAGTTAAGAACTTTTCCCTGTGGGAAAACCCACATTTTTTCCAGGCTTGTCACACAATTTCAATGAAGAATGTTGTTCTCATTTTCAAATGCCTAAGTCTCTTTTCACCTCCAAAAGGATACATTTGTAGTGATTTCTGGCGTTATAGGTTTTGTTAGGTTCATTTCAGTTTCATCTAGAGATATAGTGCCTATGTCTAGGGCAAGCTATGTTGCTATGTAACATAGAAAGAAATTGAAAAGCTTCTTTCCCTTCAGATCTGATGTCCCAGAAATTCAGATATTGTCTGCCTGCCTTCTTTTATCTTGTTCCCATTAGAGAGTAAATGATGGAAATTTCATTAGTATAAAAGAAAGGTGTTAAAATACTTCTGAAAGTGGTTTAAAGTTCAGACCTTTGCCTTCTGTTAAGGGTGAGCTTGTAGAGTGATCGAAACTTCACAAATCGGGCATACCCTCTTCGCTTACGTTAATATCTGCGCAGACCAACTACTGCTGGTAGCAAATGACACAACCTTTTCCTGCGGCTCCTCTTTGGCAGACAGCAGTTCGGAAACTCGCAGGTCAGGAGTCCTTTGTTTTGCTCCTTGTTCAGAGAGGAGGCCTCTGGCAGAGCAGGTATGTCTGACTGCTGGCTGATAGCTCTGTCTCATCCGTGTGACCCCTGGGGGTCAGAAAAATGAAGTTGTGAAGTGTGTAAGTTAGCATCCTTCAGCA